CACATCTGGTTTCCCTTTTATGGTCACCAGCAACTTGTTGGAAGACATTTCTTATTTATAAACAGGGTTATATGACCAGGAAATTTTATCCTGTTTGTGGTTCCAACTATTGTCTATGCCTTCTAAGTGTTCATACCCACACAAATGAGACCAGTTCACTCAACTCCACAATCAATAACACTAGGCGGCGAAAGAGATACCTTAAAACTGAACAAAACTCCTGATCCTGTCTTCAACTCCAAACCTGTTTTGTAGCATTTCTCACAGTGGATGCTAACAACCCCTTTCTTCTAGCTATTCAGGCCAAAAGCCTTACTAGTCATCCTAACTCACCTGTTCTTTTATACTTGACATGAATTATACCAAGTAATTCTGATGGTTCTACTTCTGACTATGAATAGCCAGGTCCAAACCTCTTCTCCTGCTTGGGTTTTTGCCTAATTCGGTCTCGCTAGATTTCCACCTTTGTCCACCAATAAACTGAATTTTCCTTATAGATTTCTACTACGATCCTTCCAAAACACAGTCTTATCATGTTTAATTTTCAGAACCCTCCAGAGCCATTCCATTTCACTCTGAGTAAAAGTCAGAGGCTGAAATGACTTGGCACATAACCTCCTGGCCTCATCACCCAATATACACCTTGCACACTATGTGTCAGCCACACTGGCCACCTTGTCATTCTGTGAACACACCAAGCCCATTCCTACCTCAGGTTTAAACCCTGACTCTTCCTTTCTGCATGTCACTAATTCAACATTGCAATGCTCTTTTACATATTTATATTATTCTCCCAGTATTCTTTATTTTTTCTCCATAACTGCAATAGAACAGGAACTTTTACCCATTTGGTCAGCGCTGTATGCCTGGAGATCAGAACACTGCCAGTACCCAAAACACATCAATTCACAGCTATGGAATGAATGAAAATCTAACATGTTAAATGTTAAACTGAAAGGCAAAGTTACCATCTCTTCATACTAGAAAATAATGATTTAAACCTAAATTGTTTTTCTTAGAACAAATTCTAAAGATGTTAGAAATCTTAGAGTCTACTATTTTACCAACTGATATGCAAGGTACCAAAATAACAAAAATGAGCAAGAAGATTCTTTCTTTCTAGAGGGCAATCTAACAGGAGATATCATCATTTCTTCATGACAAACTACTTGGAGAGCCTGCAAAGGCCATGAACTTATAAATACATTGAATAAAATGTATTAAATAATAAAATTATATTATTATTCAGTAACAAATATATTTAAAATAAGGTGATGTTAGATGAAATATTAAAGTATATACAAACATAATTTCAAAGCAGTGAGGAGTGTAATATCTGATGATAAATTTAATTCAAGACACTTTAAGAAATAAATTCATATGTAATATGAGAAAAACTCTGTTTTCTATTGGTAACAATGTCACAACTACAACTAATAATATTATTGTCATGTGTTTTCCAAATTCAAAAGTTAATGTTAACCTATTCCTAATCCCTGTTCTTGAATCCCAATTTAAGAGATCATTGACTATCAACAAGTTAGGAAATAAAAGAGATATTTAGAAAGACTATATTTCAAATAAATAAGCATCCTCTGTAAAGCTAAAAAAAAAAAAAGATAATATAATTCTAACCTAAACTGGATTGGCTCCAAAAAAGTAAAAAGGAAATACCCCTATATCAACTGTTATTTAACAGTTTCCTTTACTTTTCTAAAAAGAGCACAGACAAACAACAGTAATACCGCCAAAGCATGATTCATTTTCAAGATGAATCCCTCCCTGTTCAAAGGTTTACATTGTTTTTAACTAGCATCAGACTGTTTACCCACACAAACTGTAAATACAACATTTTTAGAACTAACCAACACAATGCCCATTTTGTTTTGACATGCAAGACACAAAATGAAAAAAAAAAAAAGACCATTACTCTAATGTCTGTTCTTCCAAAATGAGAAAAGCAACACTGAATGATGGTGAAATCATAAGATAAAAACATTTCTAGAGGAAAATGCTACAAGAAATTCTGTCTTCAAAAAAAAAATTTTAAGTATTATCAAACAGTGTGGAATCCCTAAGCTTTCTATAAAAATATGAGGATAGATAGAAAAGCAAAAAGGTTGAAAGAAAAGAGTATATTTTGGCTCAAAAATTTAGGATTACTCTTCAAATTCTGTCCTTTATACAAGATAAATCCTTCATTGATTGGTACTTTGCAACCTTCAACAAAAACAGACTGAAAAGGAACTGTTCAGTCACGGAATGCCTCGTTGTCTTTGAGTAGAAGATACGTGAGGGCAGATGCACGTTATGCCCCAGGCTTTGCACAAATGGTGCACCATGATTGCATTAATAAAGAAGGAAGAGCACAAAGAAAAAAGTGTCAAAAGAAAATTCTCTGGAGATGCATAAATGTAAGGACGTCAAATGCTTAATTTATCAACAAATCGATGGTATCTCTTGTTGACCTAACTGCTACACATGCAGGGAGCCAGTAGTCCCTGTAAAAAATCTATGGTGAAAATTAAGTCAAGAAAACCTAGAGAAAGTTCTCAAAGAATCTAAATTATGCACCCAAATATACAAAAGAAATTTTATATCAAAAAAGAAACTAGTTAGGTCTGAAGTAAAATGTCTTGTGAATGGGTGAAAATATGAGCATCTCATAGGTTTCTATATTTATAATTTTTTAATTCTTTTTTTTTTTTTTTCAAGATAGGGTGTCACAATGGACTCCAGGCTGGCCTACAGCCTCCTAACTACTGGAATTACAGACATGGACAACCATTCACAACAAACTTTATATTTTTAAAATTCAAATTATATTTTAAATGACTGTTTACATCTATAACTGATTCTCAAAACTTTTATTTCTAAACACTTGTCAACCTTGAAGTTCATGGGTTATTAGTTAAGTTAAATATACCAGAACAACAACTGTTCTTAAAAGGAGAAAAAAGAAGCTACACTACTCAGCATATGATTTATTTATGCATTTTTTCAGTGTACCTTAAAACTTCCCATAGAAAACATATCTGGAATTGACAAAGTATTCCAAGAGAGTATGTAATGTGGTCACTTCAGAAGTTAAGACAAGTAAGAATATATATCCAAACAAATTGCAAAGAAGTATTCAAACAAATACGTCTTCACACATATTAACAACAGCACTATTCACAATAGCCAAAGGTATAAACAACCACAATATCCATCCAAGGATCAATGTACAAACTGGGTTATATTCATACAAAGGAATATAATCCAGGTGTAAAAAGGAACGAAGGACTGATACACACTACACTGCAGACAAACCTCAGAAGATGGCAGAAATAAGAAGTTCTATGTTATATTTATGTGAAGCACGGAGAAAAGGTAAATCCAAAGAGATATGAATCAGAGTAAAGGTTGCTAGTGCTTTAGAGGAAAGAATGGTGAAAAACTGCTTAAAGCATATATGGCTTCCTGATGAAGTGAGGAAATTGTTTTAGAACAAGATTGAGGGTATAGCAGTACAACACTGTGTATGTATTAATGTCACATTTAAATGGTTAATTTATGTGAATTTCCAGACTGATTAAAAGACAAGATGTAATGCTCCAGAAAAAAGAGTGATCTCATGTAAATTTTTTCAGTCATTCTGATGAGGAATGAAATGGAACAATCATGTTTAAGATTCACGTAAGACTCAGATTTCACTCAGAATTTCAAAATGAGAGGGGTAGGTATGGTGGATCAAGGGCCAGGGATGGTGACTCAGACTTGGAGTCCCAGCTACGTGGGAGGAAAATCACAGGCTAGCCCTGGCAAAAAGATACCAAGACCCTACCTGAAAAATAAACTAAAAATGCAAAAAAAGGGCTGTTGGTGTGGCTTAAGTGGTAGAGGACTCACCTAGCAAGCACAATATACTGATTTCAAACCCCAATAACACACACACACCGAGAAACATTAGAAAATTTGTCAATGTCCCATTAGAATTAATAAGCCCAAAACCAGAAACCACACAAACATACATTAATATATTAGACAGGATAAATAAATAGAAGCATAACTGTTATGCTTCCATAAAAAGAGGGCAGGTCACAAACACTTAAAAAGGGCTTAATTTTCCACCACATTGAATAGTTAAATTTCCAAAAATGGAAATAATAGAACTAAATCTACCTAAAACATAATGAATCTCACAATTATGTTAAAGAAACTAACTATACATACTATACATAATTCCATTAATATAAAATGGAAAAACATAAAGAATTCCTTAGAATAAAATTATTTTTAAAGGTTAAGGATGATAATACAATTAATTATTATACAATTAATTATAATAATCAATATTATAGAGAAGAGGCAAAAAGGGACTTTGATAATGTCCATTTATTGATTGAATGATATGCATATAACTATGTGCTCTAAGATAAATTATTAACATATACCTTTTTTGGTTTTCCTCTAAGATATTATTATAAAGCCCACAGAGATGTATTTTAAAATGAAATGCTAATGCTGGTATATCTAAAGAAAGAGGGTTAGGGTATGGCTAAAGTGGTAGAGCACTTGTCTAGCATGGGCCTGGCCCTGGGTTCAATCCCTAGTACTGCTAAAATAAATGAGTAAGACATATAAAGTATTTATGACTCATGCCTATTCTTCTGTAACAAGGAATATTTTTTAATGAACTACAGCACTTTACAATTATAGACAGAATGCTCTGGAAGAGAAATGTGAACATGGAGTTCAGTCCCTAAAGTTAGGAAAATAATCTCAGACTTTATATTGCATGAATATGATACCAAATACCCCTATGTACTGAAAAGTTAGGGAGAGGTCACCATTACTATGTTGGCTGAATTTATTACATGATTTAATAAATAAGAATGTCTTAAATAAGCATAAGATCTTATCGCATGAACAGATTATAAAAATGTTTGTTTTATCCCAGCTCATGAAAATAAAGGACGATGGAAGGCAGCAGTGGAGAGAGAGAAAATGAGGTTTACCATGAAGGGGTGAGCCAGAAGGACTGCTTGATAGACCTGGAACAGGGCTACAACGACCGCCTTGCTTAGAAGTCAGTTCTTGTTCAATCTCTTCCAGCCCAGCACTTTTCTGGAAACGGCTCATGCGATTCACCACTCGTGGTGACATATGTGTGCGAACACAGGGCTGGCCACCATAAGGGTTGATGGGGAAAACATGGGAAGTACCACGAAGAGTACTGACCACAACCCAGCGACAGTCATGGCTGAAGCAGATATCCTGAACCTAGAAATGAGATAAGGAAAGATACAAAAGTAGCTGAAATTATTTGCATTTACCTAAGAGTATTAACACATCAACAAAAATTAATGGAAATGGTTGCTGCATTACCAAATTAACTTAAAAATGGGGTATATAAAAAAGAACGGATTGTAAATTTTTATTTAACAGGTGAGAGCTTCACAATAAATGCTGATTAAAACTCTCCATCAGAGATTTAACAAAATTAAAAGTGCCAAGTCATAAACAGGACCTAAGTAATTTCATTCTATTGACCTATAAATGAGTCAGGTTTTCCTGAAAGTTCTTCTAATAAGCATAGAACAGTAAAAAATAAAAAGTATACTATATAATGGAGTCAAAGTTATTGATGAATTCAATCACTCCATCAAGTGTATATATGAAATTTAATAAAATATATGAAAAGTAAGATAGCTGTCTTGTATACAAGCACAGTGGTAAGAAAAAGGAACAAAAATATGAAATTTGCCTCTCCAAGCAAATTTTCACTTCTTTTCATAAGTAATGATAAAGGTAAGGCAAAAGGAGTAAGTGGGGGAAAAAATTATCTGAATAGGCCTGGATTGAGGAACTGAGTTTTGAAGTACGAGATTCAAAAACAAAGGAGGAAAATGTTCCATATTAGATATAAATGTCTAAAAACTGTTAGGCAAATTCTTTCATATGTCTGAAGCTTCTTGAGTGTCAGAAAAAACCAGACGTGTTTGGGTTATATTTGACAAATTTTGAAAGAATGGTTCTGCAAGTAAAATTTAGAGTGAATTGTGGTGGGTATGTGGTGAGCAGTAGGAAAATTAGGTAGGAATTTATTCCAATAGTCAAGAACTCAGACCATGAAGAGATGGGTTGCACCAACAATAAAAACTAGGAGGAGGAGGACGAAGGTGATATCTGCAGTGGTTGCACAAGTGTTTCAATAATGGGCTGTTCAACTTCGCACAATGTATAATCTATCATGTCTACTCAGCTCTGCCTTTAGTATTGTCATTGCAGACATAGAAAATATGTAAACAAGCATGTGGTGGGGGTAGACAAAATTTTACTTACAAAAGTAAGCTCTAGTCTAGGGAAACTTAGTCACTAAATTACTACTTTACAATGATTTGGAGCTCTATGTTATTATTATTATTATTTTTGGCACTAAGGATTCATCCCAGGGCTTCACACATACTAGATAGGTGCTGTTCTACCAGCCCCTGCTCTAAGCATTTTTAGGCACAGCCTCTGAAAGGAACCCAGGCAACAGACACTTTAGAAGGTTTTCGACAGTGATTAAGTTAATTCTTCACCAAATAGAGCGCTTGTCAAACACTGCTTTGAAAATAATAATTAAAAAAAAATCTAGATGAGCTAATAGAATGAGGGTAAGGTTTATTTCCCCAAAAAACATTTTTATGAAAGTTACATTAGTTGTACGAGGAGAGAATCATTGTGACATTTCTGAATATGCTTATATGCTTACACTGAACACTGATTAGGCTCACTCCCATATGTACATAAAGTACATCAACCATATTCACCATCCTTTATTTACTTGTGAGTGGAATATAACATGAGAAAGTGTATGTATGTAGGTATAATATATGAGTATGAAGCATGTTCATTTTCATAACAGCATAAATTGAGCAAAATTCCTGAAGCAGTTAGGGAGGAATTTACCTATATATCAGAGATTCAAATAAATCTAAATTCAGGATAAAATTTTGATTAATATCTTAGAAATTCACCATGAACAAAAGCTACATCTGCCAATCAAAGTACAAGTTTGTAAAAGTGCATTCAGCATGCCATGAATGGTGGTGTATGCCTCTAATTCCAGCACATGGGTGGCTGAGGCAGGAGGACAGTGAATGTGAGGCCAACCAAGGCTCCACAGTGAGACCTTGACTGGAAAAAAATGGGATGGATGCCTAGAACTTCTAAAAGAAATTTTTGTCTTGGGTATCAAGACACAATACTTCACTGCTAGACAAACATTATCAACATCTGGAGAAAGACCAAGTTCAATCATCTTGATGTATGTGACACACACAAAGAACTACAAAAGCGAGAACACACAAGGAAGGTATGAGGATAGGTAAGACACCCAAAAAACTAGATAGCATTTGTTGCCCTAAACACAGAGAAACTAAACCAGATACTTTAAAGCAACTGAGGCCAATAGGAAAAGGGGACCAGGAACTAGAGAAAAGGTTAGTTGGAGAAGAATTAACTTAGAAGGTAACACACATGTACAGGAAATCAATGTGAGTCAAATCCCTGTATAGCTATCCTTATCTCAACTAGCAAAAACCCTTGGTCCTTCATATTATTGCTTATACTCTCTCTTCAACAAAATTAGAGATAAGGGCAAAATAGTTTCTGCCAGGTAGTGAGGGGGTGGGGGGGTGAGGGAGGCGGTTGGGGGGAGGGGTAAGAGGGGGGGTGGGGGGAAGGGGGGGAGAAATGACCCAAGTAATGTATGCACATATGAATAAAATAAAAAGTAAAAAAATTAAAGATTACATTTTGACAAATCAACTCCCAGCACATCCCCCATTTCAGAGGAAAAGTTGTTAACTTCTGTATTTTGACTACATGTACTTTTGGCTTATGTGACTTTTCTGAATGGGATGCATCATGAATGTGAGAGAAGAAAAAGGAGGGTAGAAGATAAAGAAAAGAGTAAACAGTAGAGAAGAGAAACACAGTATCAGAATATAATATCATAGTATCAAATGCATTTCCACATGCCACAATCAAATACTTAAAGGAAAACATCTTAAGACTTATTGAGTAATGTATGGTCCATCCACAGTGGAAATGAATCTTGTTAATTGAAACACATGAAATCAAGACCACTTTGCACTCTGTCAATGAAAAAATTACTTGTGATACAAGGTGGCATTAATCACTATCAAGGCAGGAAGACAGTATTCTATCTAATGCTTACTTAGAAAATTGTTATTAGAGAAGTGATTCTGCTAAGTGACACTGAAGACACATTAGCACACATGAATGAGCAGAGAAAAGTTGGAAAAGGTATCAGCTGTCAAGCAACTAGAGAAAGTCCAATCCTTTAAATAACATTATCGGGGATACTAAGTCACCTAATTAGCAAAATGATATACCTGTTAGTATTATCAAACTGGTCGGTCTGTTGTTTTTTGCAGTACTGGGTTTGAACTCAGGACCTACTCCTTGTTCAGCCACTTCGCCAGCCCTTTTTTATGTTGAGTACTTTCGAGACAGGGTCTCTCGAACTATTTGCCTGGGCTGGCTTTGAACAGCAATCCTCCTGATCTCTGCCTCCTGAGTAGCTAGGATTACAGGTGTGAGCCACTGGTGCCCAGTAGCTGGTCTGTTTTTTTTACATTAAAAGCAATATATTGAAAAATACTAAAAACCTGATGACTGTAGGTTTCTCCTATAAATCTGATATATGTGTTTCCTTACATAAACACACTGGCAATCTACTACTAACACGATGGCATGAGCTGCATGATATTTGGACCTCAGTTCTAGAATGCTATTTCTGATTAATGTTTTCTCATCATGACACAGGAGAACTAGTGCTGATCAGTTTCATAGCATGTGCAGCTTAAGGCACCTGGGAAGAACAGAAGTAAAACATAGAGGGGCACCTCTCAGTGCCCCAATTCCTGCTCCCAAATTTAGGAAACAAACATTTCTATAATTATTTTTTCAAAACACTCTGCACTATTATGCAATCAGGAACTTTAGCAGATTTGGGTAGCAAATCATATTCCTAGTTCCTGCACTTCAAAATTAACTGAATTAAGGAATGACTGTGGCCATATGATGTGTGAAAGTGTCTTTTAGAATTGGGGTCAGAAAACACTGCCTTCTGTAGTCTGCAAATTCTAATTACTGCACTCATTACCAGTTTACACCTATTTAAATATAAAGATGTCAGAGTTCTGAATTAAGGTACAAACTAATCATTAGGGCTTCAATGTTTTGAAATTTTATTCTGTAATTTACCATCCGTTTCCTACATTATTAACAGTATTTATAACTTATTTCTCATTGAAATGATATAACATTGGTCTGTCAGAAATCAATTAGGCTATAGAAAGTTAATGTATTGTAATTTTGATTAATGCAATACTTTAGCACAATTTGAATGATTCATTTTCTATATTTCATTGATTTAAGAATCAAGTATTAGCCAATCAATATATAATTCAGCAAACATGTGCTCAAATGGAAGATAACATGTCTAAAGTGGTTTCAATTATGTCCAGCATTTTATCAGAACTTTTTAAAAAGCCAAGTATTTAATTCACAAAACAGATTAAATTCAAACTACATATGAAACTAAAGAATTGGGGTAATAAAACTAAATGGTACCTCATCTCAGCATCAAAGATACAGAAAGATCACTTTATACAGCTCCAAATCTATGCTACAAATTCACCCCCAAACCTCAATTATTTTACATCCTAAGATCTGAACCAGAAATTCTCAAACTTTAGTGTGATATGAAGCAACTAGCGGTATGGGGACAGAGGTCAGTGGGGGAAGTGATTGCCTAGCAAGTCCAACGCCTTTAATAAGAAAAGCTAATTTTGTAAGAAATTCAGGTCCTGTGGTCCTACCTTCAGGATTCTGATTCAGAAAGTACAAGGGAAAGTGGAGGAGACAGGCACCTTAGTATTGACAAAGTCAGTAATACTGATTTAGAAAATAAAGTATCTGCTGGTGGAGTGGCTCAAGTGGTACAGCACCTGCCTAGAAAATAAAGTGTCTAGCAATGGCACTCCCACCAAATTTCTGAAGTTATAGGAAAGATATTTTTAAAAATAAATAAGGTGCTACACAAGCTGGTGGCTCACACCTGCAATCCTAGCCTACTTAGGAGGCTGAGATCAGGAGGATCACAGTTAGAGGCCAGCCTAGGCAAATAGTTCATGAGACACCATCTCCAAAATAGTCAGACCACAATGGACTGGAAGTGTGGCTCAAGTGGGAGAGCATCTGCT